TTTGTCAGGACCATTTTTAGTCAACACTTTATAGAGTGAGGACTTTTAGGTAAAGTGTGAACATTCTGACTTGCTTTTAGGGTAAGGCAGTTAATCGTCATATTGTGTAACAATAGTTTGGGTTCATTATGAAACTCTAGCAGAGGATGTTAGCTGAGACCTTCATATGTGGCCCAGGACACATTTGAGTTGATACTGATAAAGAATGTGGCCACAGACCACCTCACAATGTGGTCTGAGTGATCACATTTCTCAATGTGCCTCATGGTGTTAACACCGGAACTTAAAGAGCTGACCACTTGTGATCAGATCAGCTGAGGCCGATGTTAAGACCGGGTCTGAACCAGGGGGCACCACCACCTCCATGCACAGCAGTTTGACAACTGAAACAAAACCTGTATGTGACATACTGTACAGTTACAGTTACCATGGGCATAACATGCAGTCGCTTCAGTAGGCATGGACACAGAGCAAACTCTTGAATACATGTTTACATCACACACTTTCAACTTATGATCGTTGTTTTGCATGTCATAAAAAATGTCAGTGTGTTAGTAGTGAAACAGTGTCTGTCTCAGATGCCTGATTAGTGTCTTCGTGTGTCCAACAGGTGGAGGATGAAAACAACTCTCCCGTGGTGTTGTTCAAGTTTTCCCAGGAAATGAGTGCTGGTAAGGGTCTCACTTCTAGACCATTTAAAAAAGACTTTATTTCAATTTGAATCACTTTGGAGCAGTAATATAAAATTGAATGTGTTTTTTATGTGTTAATGGTTTTTAATACACTAAATGGTCAATGTAATAGGAATCCTGCTGTCCTGCAGAGCCCTTTGGGCCTGCTGCATCTCTCTCTATCTCACTCCTCACTGATAAATTGTGCTCCGTGCAGAAATAGTCCAAACGGATGTAAAAGGTTAGAGTCACACGTCTGTATGACTGGGGTCCCTGAACATTCCAGTCTTTTGTTAAGATGCACCTTAAAGTCCATTTCCTGAACTTTTGAACTTATGTTTTGTTGCTCAAAAAATGATCAGTTATTATTTAGATCCAATAATGTTGTAATCTTATTATATTGTGACATTTTTGCCAGAGCCCAACAGATATAACAGATATGCATTGTTGGGGCCAATTGCAATACCATAGAAAAAGAAATGTAATTGAGACTTGATATCTATGGGCCTCATTCTCCAACCGTTCTTAAGTAGAAATTTCTTCTTAAACCCCACAGTTTTTACAAAGATTCTGACGTTCACCAGTATTTTCTTATCTGGGATTTTTTGTTATGTAGGAACAGAATCTACACACACTGAAGAACTGAAAAGCTTGTGTAAAATAATCAGTTATTGTGTTTTTTACTTTTAATTCTACAGTATAATAACATTTTCATTACCATAATTTATAATTTTTATAGAAAACTTCTTCAGGACAAATTTAAGACAATTCTTTAAAATATTGGTGAATGAGGCCCTATGTTTTTTCCCCTGCTAAATTGTTTTTTGTTGGTAGTTTTACCTCACTCTAGTTGAGGACTTAGGGCAGAGGATGTCGCACCTTATTAAGCCTTATGGGCTATGCAAATAAATTGAATTGATTGATTGATGTTTTATCGTTTAACCATAAACATTATTAAAAGTAACGATATAATACAAATACAACCAAATACATGAATAACTTGAATGAAGAAACATATAAAATGTAAATTTTCCTGCAATTTTAGTTCTGTAAAATCAAATTTCATTTCATATTGGGAAACTAATATGTCTGTGAAAGGCTCATATCGGTGAATATTATCAGCCAGTAGATAAATCGTTTGGGCTCTAATTATTTCTTTATTTTCCCCATTCCTCTAGCATCTAGTGGAGGGTCAGTGGAGGGATACTGTGCTGGGGAGAAAGAAGTCCTTGATACATTCAACAGATGGGTGAGTGTAAACATGTGTTGCAACTTGTATTTCTGTGTGTATGCATGTTAGTGCTGCATTAATCAATATTTTATATATTAACAAAGGATGATTAGTATTGAAAATAAAACTAAACAGTTCTTCTCAGCTCCAGCGAGTTTCACTTATAGCTCATTATTATAACATTACATTACGTCATGTCATTTACAGTAGCTGCCGCTTTTATCCCAAGCAACTTACAATTCAGCATCTATGACTTCACAACCTGCAAACTTTAATCTCACCAGCCTCATAAACCCAATGTACACTAGTGAACACAGAGAAGCAACTGTAAGCGGAAGTTATTTTTCCTCAAGGTTTGGTGGAAATTTCTAACCAGAAGGTCGGCAGTTCGATCCCAGTCCTCCGAAATGCATAAGTATCCTTGGACAAGATAATTGAACCCTGATTTCCCCTCATTGAAAAAGGCCATTCATGCACTGTATGAATGTGTGAATTCAACTATACTGTAATAAGCTTTGAGTGTTGCCCTCTAGTGTAAAAAGTGAATATTGCAACAAACTCAATCCCCCTCCCCTCCACTGTGTGTAGGAGAAGAGAACAGTGTGGTTCAGGCCAGCTCATTTAAAGAGACACTGGCGATAATGATATCTTTGATTTACAGCTCAACTAGTGCTGAACTTTAACACATAAACCTTTGCCGCCATATTACATTGTTTTGCTGTGTATTTTACTTGGTTACCTTATATCATGTTTTAGTCTTTAACAACTGTACTCCCTGTACATGTAAATATTAAATGTTATTTTATATATATATATGCACAGTACAGTGCACAGAATTTAGGCTCCAAAAGAAAATAGACCATGAGTAGTTTTTATTTTTATGTAACTTGATAAAACTGAACATCAGATCAGTATTTTCTGTGGCAGCACAGAATCTCCTCAGTACACTTACAGCTGCAGTCACTTAAAGAGCTTTAAGGAGCACAGCAGGAAGGTTGCTTCAATCTTAGAGCACCTGCTGCTTTTGTCTGTCTCCTCATGTGATCCCACTCTGACCCCAATGAAGCTGCGTTCAGACCTCTCTGAGGTCCAGACCCTCTGCTTCAGGACTCTCTGTTCTTCCTGTCTCTGAGGATAGTTTGTGATGACGCTGTGTTTTGGGCTCGTTGTCCAGATGCGACTTAATCTCACTTGTTTTTGTGTCCATGGCTTTCTGCACTTCTGTGTACAGTATCAAAACACACTGTACAGTCAGGCATTGCTTTTGTCAGTGGTTTCAGCACTTAAGTCCTAAATTGACAACATGACGTGTATTCCTTTTTTAATGTTCCTGGATGCAGCTGGGTGAACAGTTAGCACAGTTGGTTCCCACCAGTGGAGTAGATGTGGTGGAGCTTGACGACGAGGGTATCTGCATTCGCTTCAGTCCCCTCCTGACGGCTGCAGGTAACGTGAACTCACAGACACACGAACACAACATTCTGGCTTGTACTATAAATGATACATATTGCACTATTGCTAAATGTTGCGAGCAAGCGTAACAAAGTCACCAGGAATCAGTGGTGACTGTGACTTCCTCTTCCCACCCAGTCCTGGGGACCCAGCAGGAGGATGTTGAGGAGCTGGTGGAGAAGCTGACTGAGCTTGTGCCTGTGATGAGCTCCACTATGAGCCTCAGGCAGGACTTCAGAGAGGAGAGCCACCGACACTCAGCCTCGCTCACATATGTAGAGGAGATCAGCTGGCCTGGCCTGGGAGCTGTGCGGTAAGGTGGAATAGGCTTGAGGCTATAAAGAACACTGTTGTATATCATCATCTATGAATACAGAGAATGAAATCAACTTAATGAACCTTAAACCTTGAAGTTGTCAAGAACATTGAGTCTCATATACAAATATGTTGTATATACCAGTAGTTTTATCTGGACTTTGTTCTTAAGCAAATTCCTAAGAAAACTCAGATTCATGACGTGTTCTTAAACTGCAGAATTGTTCAAACAAATTGATGAATTCCATTATCTTAAGTAAAAATTGCATACCAGTTATTCCTAATTAGCATATGTCAATACCCGATAAATGGCCATTAAGGGGCATGAGAGTGCAGAACCGTGTGCTCACACAGAAATCACAAATTGAAGAAATTAAGAATGCCTCACATGAAAATCTATATAAAAGAAAACACAAGAAATTATACATGGGGTGCAGTTACACTTTCAGAGAAAGCTTCTTCAAGAGAAAGTCACACAGTTAAAAAAAAAGTGGTTTGATATTAAATCTGAGGTCAAAACACATATTGTCAGTCACTGAAAAGAGAGGGGAGGGAAGGGAGAGGAAGGGGGACGGACTTGATGGAGAAATTTGAGCTGGATCAGCGCATCATTGGAAACACAGCACTGCAACCCTCAGCTGAGCTTTTGGACCAGAGTCCCAGCCATACAAGTGCAGTGCAGCTACACTAACTACATCAGACTCAGGTCTGGTTTGGACACTAACAACAGAATGCCTGCTGGGTTTGGAATGGACTCGGTTAGTTTTCTCTCTTGCTCAGACGGGTCCAGAAAGAAAAAATCTGGACAGGGTCCTGGGTTTCGGTGCACACTGTGTGGTGTGTTTGCAGCTTCTGGGTCCTCTCCCGTCTGAGAATCAAGCTTGTTTTTCATCGTTCACAGGCTACACTAGGACTGTAGCTGGAAAACCATGTGATACATTGAATATGTAAACATCAGTGTAAAACCTAAAGAAGTATTCTCTTCAAAATGTCCATGTCCTTCAAATCTCCAAGACAATATGCACTTTAACCTGTTTTTTAAGACGGTGTGTTTCAGTCTTGAGATTAATTCTAAACATTAAATAACCACATATCAGAAAAATATTACATCATTACAATCATTGAAGAAAATACCTGATAATTTTGTAGTCAAGTGTGTGTAAGAGTGCTCTTGAGTGTGCATAGATTCTGTTCTTATCCCAGTGAACTTACAATTGGTGAATGAGGCACAATCTTCTTATCAGATCCAGAGCAGCATGACCTTCTTACGTTTATTCTTTTCATTCATGGTAACAAAACCCAATATGGCAACTGACAGATGAGGGTTTGATCTTAGTGTAAACACTTATATTCAGCTGAAGTAAGTTGATAAACTGTTGAATCCATCAATAAGAACATTCCTCAGGTAGATCAGGTGGTTCAGATGTGAGGTCATGTGTGCATCTGACTCTGGTAAGCGGGAGAGGTTCAGTGGAAGGGAAGCTGGGTAATGGGCTGGATGGATGTTAGAGGGATCGAATGAGTGTGGGTAGAGTAAGGTAAGAATCAGTGGTGATGATCAGGTGGGATTATGGGTGATGAAAGTATTTATGATAAAGTGATAAATGTATTTGTTGAGTGAGAACAGGAGCTAAGCCTCCCTCTTTACGATATTGGTCATTAGTTATAGCTTTGATAGCAGAAAGCTATGAGCCATTAGTAAATCCATTAAGCGTGTGGCCTGTGGGATTCAAACCGATGTGTTGATGCTCAGGTACAAACCACAGGCTGACGGAATGGATGAGAGCAGGAGGAAGCAGGAGCTGGAAAAAATCAACTCTGAGCTGCTGAGGAAGCTACAAGACCTTGACACGGACATCATCTTCTCCACTGGTTAGTACTGCCTCGCATCGAACAATGACACTGACAGGAAGGGTCTCATCAAACGCTCGTGGCTTTTCTGTGTCATCCTCTGTCCCCAGGTCCTGAGTTTGGAGCGGAGGAGGACTGTATCTTTGTGGGCATGGTGACTGATGACGTCGATGTTTCAGAGCTGGTGGATACCATCGCTGCCCTAGGGAGGGACATCGAGGAGAGTGGAAGGGTAACTGCTAAATTCATTTATGTGGTCATTAGACAAATGCAAAAACTGTTCGCAGATATTAAATCAATAGTTCAAGTCAGTTATTAGTTTCTCAGTCTTTGATTACTTACATAAGTCATTGTGTGATTACAGCTCATGTTTAAATATTACGTTTGACACAAATTCTACCTGTGTAATTAAATATCAGCTACAATATTTAGACAACACAATTCAATTCAGTTGTATTTTTATAGCTCCAAATCATAACGTACGTTATCTCAAGGCACTTGTCATAGTAAGGTTGAGACCTGAGAAATGATAGAGAAACAGTTCCCACAACGAAAAAATAATAATTTTAACTGAAACCTTTAGAAGAACCAGACTCAGTGAGGGCAGCCAATCGTTTTAACTAAGCAATTGCATCTCTTGTAAGAAGTAATGATTATTTCTGATGATGATGGAATCTGTTTGGATCAGACATCATAGTGATTCACAATAAAGAACCAACAAATGACATCAAAAAGTGACTCAGTATAGAAACGACTAATAACGAGTTAATCATAAGTAAACACCAAATAATAATCTAAGCTCCATGAGGAGACAGTTGCCAATTTAAAATGATCTCTAACGTCTACCCTCAGGGCTGAAGACGAGATGTCTTGATATAGGATTTTAGTGGTCTTGACCGGAAAGAATAAAAAGGCAATGGAAAATATCTCTAAAACAGTTTGAGACTTCCTGACTGGAGAAGCAGGCAGATCTGTGCCCTGTGCCTCAGCCTGCGCGTGTTGCAGCACTGCTCCCTAAAACCAGGCTCTACAGCATTGCTCAGTATTTGTGTGAATCTTTTGAAACAGGACCTTCAGTATTTGTGTCCAGAAGCATGAAATGGCTACGGCTGTTAGTTTCAGTGTGTCAGATACACTATTCAACATCTAGGCAAATATATAATAAGTATTCTTATCTTAACTTGCTGGTCCTGAGTCAGTGCAGACTCAAAAGTGACGTTTTAGATTTTGAGTGAGGATTTAACAGGCGGAGCGAAGTAACCAGAGCTTATCTGTATCTCAGGGAAAACCATCAAACAAGCTTCATCAGCATAGAACTCAAAATGTGACAGCAATTAACACAGTCATGTAAGACACTGTAGGCTGCAGCGTCTGAGGCAGCAACACACACACACACACACACACACACACACACACACACATCACAACATTGCCTCTTTAGACTGAGAAATATTTAGGTTGGGTTACACGTGTAACTGCTTCCACTGGAAGAATTTGACTTTATTTAGCTATTTTTGTTAGCAGTTTGACACAGTGTCCTCATTTTAAACAGGTTGGGCATTAGTTTTTCTCTTTGCTGCTGACAGTCTTATCGACGTGAAGAGATGTCACATTTTCAGAGGCTGTGATAGCAGTGGTTCCTGCTGGTAGTTGTCCTCCAGCTTTGGCCAAAGTATAACAATAAATTGGCATAACCACATCAAGGTTATTATAGTTTTGAAATTTTCAATAGTTTTTATTTTTATTTAGTTTTTCAGTTTGCTTTTTCATTTCAGTTTAATTTTAGTTAGTTCAACAAGTGATTTGTAGTTTTAGTTTTTATTTTGAGGAATCGACTAGTTTCAGTTAAATTTTTATTTAGTTTTAGTCTTAGTTTGAGTTTTTCCAGGTATTAAGAGAAAGCTTCGACTTGTAGAAGCTGAAACAATGTGTGACACCAAATATGGTTTATCAAGTCCTTTAATTTCATTCTTTAACCATCACCTGCAGGACAGGCAGTGATCCAGGGAGAAAACAAAACTGAATTTATCTGCAATTCAGTTTAGTTTTAGTTAGTTTTGCATTGTTCATTGAATTTTTTATTTAGTTTTCGTTTTTTTTCTAATTGTCGTTTTTATTTTTATTTCAGTTAACTAAATTATTTTTTCATTGCTGGTTTTCGTTTTCGTTTTCGTTAACTATAATAACCCTGAACCACACAGCTTTGGTTGATAAACAATCATTCTTGTTCCAGAAAAATGTTTTACATTTCTGAATCATTGTGACTCTTTCCTGTGCAGCTGTTAGAGAACATGACAGAGGTGGTGAGGAAAGGCATCCTGGAGGCTGAGCTGCAGCTGCAAAAGGCCAACGAGGAGAAACTCATGGAAGAGGTGTGTGTGTGCTTTTGTGTGTGTGAGTGTGTGAGACCACACAAAAACCAATCCACTGAACTGTGTGTCTTCTTCTGTGTGTGTTTTAGGGGATGCTGAGACAGCTTCCTCTGGTCGGCTCTGTTTTAAACTGGTTCTCTCCAGTTGAAAGCTCCATACAGGGCAGGACCTTTAACCTGGCTGCAGGTACTGTGTGCTGCTACATCATGGGAAATGTGGTCTATTGGGACAATAACCAATAACACAGATAACTCTGAAGTCACCCACATGTTACATCAGGTGTAACTTTTAAACCCTCTGAAGAATGTGAAGCACCACAGAACAAAAAGGAGCTTCATGGTCATATCAGTGTCATTGTAGTGTGGATGAGTTCATCAACACATCAGCTGATGTAAGTTGTCACTGATGATGTAAATGAAAAGCACCTGTGTGGTGACGTATGTCCTGTGTATACCCCAAACAGACAAGTTGACAATGTTTGAATTGTGACACACAGTGGTAGAGTGCTATCATTTCACTGATTGCTGCATTAGAGTAAGCTGATTGTCTCTCTATTATCTCTGGGTTTATCTTATTGTTGTTGACCTTTTACTGATCAGCTTCAAAAGTTAGATGTGTAATACCTAAGTCTGTCCTTGCATTGTGGGTGTTTTGTGCGCACACAATAATAATAATAATATTAATAATAATAATAACAACTGCATTTGTATAGCACTTATCTAAACAAAGTTACAAGGTGCTTCACAGGAAAAATAATAAAAATCCATGGCTAGAAGAAGAATAAATTATAATAAAAAGGTTTTCACTTCAGGTAATGTTTTGAACCACGGAGCCACAAGCCTAAAGTCAGATTCTTTCTGGTTATACAGCAAATATGAAACATGACATGCAGTGTAGTACACACTTCATACAAGGTCTGGATTCAGAACTTTGCCAAGAAAGTGCTTTTAACAATATGTTGTAAAAGATGCCACCCACTGAATGTATGAGTGTAATTTAAATGTGTGTCTGGTGTTAGAGGTCTGTAACTATTATGTCCATTATATTAACTAGCTCTTATAAAAACAGAGATCAAAGCATGTTACTGTTTGTCAGAGTAAGTCAGCACATGTGCTTGTGATGGTGTATGTCAATAGGTTCCCTGGACTCCACAGAGAAGACGTACTCCACGATGGCCCAGACGGACAGGCCGTCCCAGCAGGAAACTCCCACCTCCTCGTCAAAGAGAATGCCAGGTGGGTTTGTCCATCTTTGTCGCTGACTATTTTCAAGTACAAGCTGGTTTTCAGGTCACAGCCAGATCTCAAATAAATAAGTCAATTCAGCACACTGTATTTCTACTTCACTAATTCTGTAAATACAGTAACAGTCATGCTCTCACTTTCTTTCTCTAATTCCCTGTTGTTGTTTTTTTTTTAAATTGTTATCATCCACAGTACTTTGGAGTTCTTTAGCCCCTAAAATGGAGATTGTTGTCAGGGTTGTTGTGGACCCTGTACTAGTTTGAAAACTCCAGAGTTGCTTTTTATATATTTACAAGCAGAATCCTGGCTCTTCTGTGTATGCAAAGTACTTTTGTAGCTAACTTTAACATTTACACCCTAATTACTACAACACTGACTTGTAGGTGGCCCTCTTCAGCTCATTCTTCTTCCTCTTCATCTTTGTTCATGTCTGCCTGAATTCCTCATTTACTACTCAATGAGTAACACACAGTAGTTTGATGAGCATGATGTTGGAGCGTTGCACGTTGCAGCTGACACACGTGAAGTTGAAGCAACATCACACTCGGCTCATTCTCTTCCTGACTCGTACATTTCCTCACAGGTCAGAGGTTATTCCGGCGCTCAGGGGCGAGCTCCGACTCCTTAAGTGAGACCAGCTCCATTGGACCGTCTGATGAGAAGACCCAGGAGGAGAGCACCACTGTGAGCAGCAGCATCCACCCTACCACCTCTGCACCTGAACCAGAGGAGGACTCACTGCACCTTGCAAGTGATGCCTCACCACAGAAAGTCCAGGAGTCATGTGAGCAAACGCACGACACACATGTAGAGCCTGGGGAGGCCTCAGAGGAGAGGACGCCTGAAGGCCAAGAGGAGGAGCAGAGCAGGAGATAGGACGACCCTCGATGCAGGTGTTTTCCAGTCTTCCTCTAAATGGTACCAGCCTAAGAGATGTTTAATAAAAAAGCTTTATTACTTTGTGAATCTAACTCTTCCAGTTTTGAAGGAAAAAAACTAGATTGAGATGATGGGCTGCTTGTCTCAGTTGTATGTTTCAGGCCCTAGAGGATGTCTGTTAAAGGAAAAGTCCCCCTGGATATACTGACATATTATACTTATGTAGGCAAAGTGTTTTAATATGATATTCTTCCTCTGCCAGTGGCTTAGTGTCGACTCCAACATAATTTTGAATTCCTTTTAATCACTCCTAAAAAGGGACATGGCCGTGTGGTTTGCTGTTTTGCAATTATGGGTCCGTGGCGTAGTCTGTTGAGGTATACTGCACCTGCCTCCTGTGTGCTCACTCTTCCCCATGTGTGATAGTTGCCTTTACATCCATGTTTTCACGTTAATGGTAAATGATCTGTTGTCCTTTCTGGCTGCACTAAAACTATTTTCACTGTGGCACGACATGACTCGTGTCTTCTCTGATTTGCTTTGTATTCAGGAACACATGTACACATATGGAAGTGTACATGCTTTGGGATGGATTTTTCCTTTGAACATTGGATGGAGGAGAGTTCAGAGAACGTTCAGCTCGGTGTTGTGCTGCTCTTTACCTTGATCACTCTGTTACTGGATTGTCGAGCAGAATAATTAGCCATATCACACACTGATGATGAAATTATTTTTTATTTGATTTTAAGAGAAATATGAGAATTTAAATTCACTTGAGCACTCATCAAAATGAATGCAATGATTATCACTACGATTTGTTTGGGAAATGTTTACTGCAAATGTTTAGAGTCCTCACTGTAAATAATATACCCGCTATATATATCTAACATACCTAATTACTCATCTACAATAAAATAAGTTAAAATGATCAATCTGTGTATGAGGAAGAGAATATCATCTATTTAATCTAAATGACTACTAACAGCCATCAGCTGCTTCCAAACTCTCCCCTCGCGTATGCACTGCCCCACATCACGACGATGGAGCATCAGAGTCCCTGCTGGAGGGAGAAGAGATGTTCAATATAATATTCAGTCCAAATTCTGTGAGAAGTCCGAACATCTGTTTGAATCAGAATCAGATACACACCCAGAATTTCATCTCCGTGTGAATGTTTTGTTGTGTTTGCCAGTAATGCTACCTGAGGAGCATTGCTTGGCATGTACAGTATTTACTGTATGTGGAAGTTTTCTTTTTTGCCAGAAACAGACAGACCTGAGTCAAACCACTTCCTGTTGAGATGGTTTTAAGTGCCACATTAGAGGGCCCAACCAGTTTTCTCTTTTTCTCACATTTTTTGAAGAACTCAGTCGATTATGTTTGTCTATGAAATTCTCTCGTCCGACACTGATGGCCCATCTTTTGCTCTTGTTTGTATAATATTAATAATCTCGGGCAGCACAGGCCGATTGTGAGCATGCTATGTGCACTTTATTAATGTTTTTTATAACTGATTCTGTTCTACATGACTGTTGATAACTGTTTGATGTGTCTGTCACACCAGGATAAGTTCACAGACATTTTGCAGGTGAGATCCTGAAGACTGCTGTACACTGTGCGGTTTTGGCCTGTCCCAAATGAAAGTCAGTCAGTCATAAGTGCAACATGGTGGTTTTGACTTCAAATGGCGCTCCACTGTGTAATGAGCACAAAGCAGCCAATCAGAAGATAGTATGAAATGACAAAAACCATAAATAATTTTAACTGCCTGTACACACGTTGTCCAAGATCCTAGTCGACATCTCTCACAGTGTAACAAAGTGGTAAGATCACTCTTGTTGCTGATTTGGTAGGATCCTTAATGTTTCACTGATGGTAATGGAAATTCATTTTAGCAAAGGCAACCCAAGAAGAACAGCAATAGGGTGTCATGAATACACACACACATACAGTTTATGATAAGAAATAGAGCCGATGCAATACCCATAATAGGGATTGAAAATTTCCTATACAGACACAATTGGCAAACAGTATATATCATTCCTAAGATGTCCCAATCAAATATATAGTACTTGAATAAAGAAAATAAACATATTTTATATGTAAAAAAAAAAAGAATCTGCATATTCTGTGAAATAAGTTTTCATATGGGCTTGTATTAACACTGACCCTTTTGTGACAGGCTCATATCTGCTGACTTTTATGGGCTGTATAATAAGAAACTGTGATTGGAACTTGCAAAACATGCAAACGCCTGTAAACAACAGAATCAGAGGGCGATCATTGTTGTTTTATATTACAACTGTAATTGAATGGGAGTGAATGAGCCTCATTAGTTGGTGTAGAATCATCTGTCATGATGCCGGAATGTAAAATGTGTGATGTTTGAGGATGAAAGCTATAAGATGTCAGGTCTAAGTGGATAATTTACTGGAAGGAACACAGTGGCGATGAAGATTACAAAAGATTTCAGCTTTATTGCACTTGCTCTGTCAACTTTACTACTGTTCTTTATTTAATTTCTTATATGGTGTAAATGAAGCAATGTCTCCTCTGTGATTATTTTTGTCATTTGATCGTAATGCAAGATATAGATATTGATGAAGAACGTTTGGTTTGATTTGATATGAAATGTCCTGGACCGTCCTGCTTCTGTCTGAATGATTACATTTCATCAGTGTAAATTCTGTCTCTCAACAGATTAAATTCTAAGTTTTCTAATCTTATTGTTGGGTCTTGGTTTTCTGTACTTGCAGCTGTATGTCTCCAACTTGAAACTTGATGGAAGGGTGAGTCAAGGACCAAAGGAAGAACCCATTCACTTTTGTAGTTGATTTGATTTAGTGGTTACATCCAGGAATTGTTTTATTTCACACTCTAAAACATTGCTATATAGGATGGTTTTTCAACATTTTAGGACTTTCTAAACAAGTTGTGCAAAGATTTTTTGAAAAAATCAGGCATACTTAGGGGACTTATCTGTGAGTGTAGGACATGGATTGGCCTACACACATGGACTTGACAGAAGTATGTTCTGGACTCGAGTCCCAGATGTGTGACAAACACAGCAAAAGATGAAAACCAAAGAGTAAATCAAAAGCAAAAAGTGCATACAACAAAATGAGATCATTACATCATGGAGAAGTGCTTTGAATCTTAAGAATGAAATGGGTTATTTTGCATCATTAAGATTCCTATTTTATTTTGCATCATATCTGTAATGGAGATGGAACAGGCCCAAATAAGCTTTTAGCTGTAAAGTAAAAGTCAGGCAGCAGTGGTCGTGGTTTTTTAAGAATAGAGAACGAGATGTTAAATATTACTTGTACGTTTGAAGGTCTTCTGCACAATTAAGGTTTCCAACTACCAGGAAATGTTAGTTAGATGTTTTTAGTGGCCACGAGTGGATGTTATGGACATAGCTTCAGTTGTGCACCTGAGCGTCAAGTGTTTTGGCCTTGTGGCAGCAGTGTTTGTGGAATGATGTTGACTCAAACTAAACTGAAGGAACAGTGTGTTTATAACCTACCTTCAGAATCTGTGCAGTCTGAGGCTTTGAAAACATCAGCAGAAGAGGATGAAACAGCAGTCAAAGCAAAACAAGTACAGAGTCATGAGCAGACTGCAGCCAGTGGACTAGGAATGACTTCATATCCTCATAAAAAATGACGTGTAACAGAAATTATCTATTTATTTTAATTTGAATCAACATGAGATGTACTAATCAACCAAGTAATCAGTGCAACAACAAGCTCCGAAGTTGTAAATGATGGTGTTGTTACATGGGACATGGGTACAGGAAGAACCCGTTATTATAACCACATTAGGCCGGTTCAAACAAAGGTGTGTATCCAGAAAAGATTTCACTTCCTTGAACAGAGTGTTTTTCTAAAGGGGATGTGTAATATTGCCAGGAAATAATGAATGGATCTTGGTGAGAATAAAAACAGACAGGCATGTTTAGGCATATTCAGAAGACTGATCTCTATGAGTCAATTGGATTTATGGGTGCTGTTGGGTCTGTGATATTTGTTTGTTAGTTGCTTAGTTATGCTTGAGTTCAGACTTGTAGGTCCATATCAGTATGAAAAATAAAATACATTGAATTACAAAATATAGCAACAGTACAATCGTACACAAAGATTAAAACACATACAGACTTTTGATCCAGCGCTTCCAAAAGCAAGATGAGTACCTCGTGTCACTCAGTGTTGCTTGGTTTTTTTGAAGCACAAAGTTTTAGACTGGACTTGATTCAGGTATGGCTAAGACTTCAGACTTAATTGCGATTTGTAAAACTGACCTGACCTGAGTCCCACCAATAGCAATCCACTCAAATCAGTAATGGACACAGATACCACAACCCATGTACAATCAAATGCAACAAATTCTACTGCTGTGAAGCTCAGAGACGCTGGTTCCATACTGTCATTATGTTTGTGTTGAGGGCAACTACATTACATTTCATAGCTTTAATGCACATGGTGTGAGTCTGTTAATACAACTTAATGTAACAGTTCATTATAATCACATCAAACTGCTTATTTCTCTAATAATCTAAAGACTGAGCTGACTGGTTGTGTCTTTTAATGTTGAGGTTTACACCTTTGGCTTCTTGTTTTTAAGAATAGTCACTTTCTGTGGTTGACCACTGTAATGCCTGAGGGCATATTCACCCCCCCCCACCCACTCTCTCTCACACACACACACACACATATATATATAGAACATTTATTATGAATCATGAACTATTTAAGTTGTTGTGTTATTGTCATCATTTCCCCTCATTACTTTGGACAACAGGGCTAATGGAAAAAAAAAAAAAAGCTTTGGTTGCTCTTTTAATTTCTAACTAAAACTTTTTAAACAAAAGTTCAGACTTTTCAAATGACTTCTGCAAACCCCAAATTAGATTTAAAGTGTGGCTCCTGAATGTAGTGTGTGTTTTCAACAGAGCATGTGTTCCACCTGAACTAGTGGGAGAACTCCTCTGTATCAGCAAACACATGAAGCTCGCTCTCCGCTTGCTACAAAAACGTGAATGGAATCTGCGGTTCCTGAAAAGGTCACAAACCACTGACGTACAGCGCCGAGCACCGCTCGCAGGGAGTTGTAGTTCTCCTGTTCCCAAGCGAGCGCGCTCTCCTTTTGAATTGGACTTCATATCCCAGAGGCCAGCGCGGCGAGCACGTCGACTGCCGGGGCGCATTAGCTCACGCGGACCGTCTCTGGGAGTGCTGAGTCGAAGATCCTCTCTGGCGTCCGTGGCGATAGAAGCCGGTGTCCCCGCTTCACCTGAGACCGACAGACAACGTCCCAGCGAGGCTTGGAGGCTCTCGAACACTCCGAGGTGTGAGCTTAGCGTCGGGTTTCGGGCGGACACCACGGTACACCGTCAACTGCGGCGCTCGAACCTCTCAGAGAAGTGAAAACCCAAGACCCACGATGGACCCGAGAGACACTGCCCCTGATTCCTGGGAACAAGAGGACGATGTGGAGGCCACGATCGACAGGCGACTTGAAGAAGCCCTCACGAATCTCAATGTGAACGCGAAGCCGTTTGTGCCCAATGTCAACGCCGCCGAATTCGTTCCGACATTCGCCACGAAAGCTACCTCGGAAAATCTCGATTCCGCTGGTAAGTTCCCAGTCACGTTGGGGGGGGGCTACGTTAGCTAGCAGCTAGCTAGCCGCTAAGTGCCGCTCGGGCAGCGCAGTCGCTAGCTCACTAGCTACTTTAGAGACACGCGTTCCTCGAAGCGCCACAAACTAGCCGCTAGCTGATGTTTCCCGTGGCAGAAAACGACACAGTGCGGCACACGCTGCGTGTCTCTGACCACAACCTGCACCTCCAGCTAACCGTACTGAGTGTTTCTGAAGCAGACTGGTGTTCTTTTGCCTTGTGGAGCTCTGTCATAACTGTGCACAAAGTCAACACAGCCGGCGTTAGCTTGTTAGAACCGGTAGCCGCCTAGCATGTTCGTGAGTAGTGCGGTCTCCTGTGCCGCACGGGGCTCAAGTGATGGCTCACAATGTGCAGCTGCTGTGTCTCACCCACGGTAAATGAAGTGATACATCGCAGACCTCCACGAGGTCGCTGATAAACAAACGAACTTCACCCGGTGATTAAAGCTGACCCTGAGTTTGGTGGAAATTAGAGGGGACGTCAGTGTGTGACGTGGATGTTCTGACGCACTGTTGGTTAAGAGAGGAGCGAGATGTGTCATCGAACTGCGGGTGAGGGTGGACGAGGGACCTGGACGAGGTTGGCGGCTGTGTCACCTTTGGAAGCCGTTCTTTACAGTAGCTGGTCCCATATCCCCTGATCTTATTCAACACACCGCTGGTTACTAGAGTTCCCACTACTTACAGACTGCTCATGGACACTGTCTCCTTATGGAACCTAGTGATCCACAATGTAGAGCTGCTTGACAGGGACAAAGTAGTGAAGTCCTGGACATGTGTAACAGACTCTGATGTTTCCATACAATCTCTCAAGTCTTGACTTAAAGGAGCGTCTGGAAACCAGCGTCTGAGACATAAACTTTTAGATTTGTTTCCACGGTCACTTTATAAACTCCCACTTAGTTTTGACAGGAATTAGCATGTGGTCAGACTTAATGCAAATTAACTTGAACTCAGTCATTCTCTTTTCCAGTTGCTGTTGAGAAAATATCCACCATGGAGGTGTCTGAGAGCACTGGTATGTATGGAGTCTGTGTTGTAGCTGGGTTCCCTCTGTGCCATGGGACACACACACACACACACACACACACACACACACACACACACGCTGTTGCTGCTCACCTCATTGTCCTGACTCGTGCAGGCTCACACTGAACAGAGACGGTTAACAAAGCCCAAAGTGACTCTCACATCATGAGTTGCTGAAGCTCTCTGTGTTGACTTGTAGTATTGGCTTTGTGCATCTACCTATGCCACAGGGTGCCTCTTAAAACTGAGTTCACAGTGTGAATAGCGAATTTTGTTATAGATCAGCATCAGTCTGTCTTCTGTTTAGTCCCAGGTTGTGTGGGTGATGCTGTGTCACATACACACAGTGCTTCATTATCACTTGAAACAGACATGGCATTATTTCAGCGGGAGATAGCACTACAATAAACACAACGTTCAGCTGAGTTGTGAACTGGTGAAATGTGAGTATATTACTCTAAGACATCTTGTGTACAGCCAACAGTAAAATATTAAACAGTGGTAACATTACATGAACATTTGTCATCAAGTGTAGCAATACATACAGCAATTCTGCTAGCTGCTGCTTATAAGGTCATTTATTTAAACAGAAATACCAGGACAAATGGCTGTAGTCTTGGGTTGACACTTGTTATGTGGAAACATGGGAAAGTAGAATAGGAAGCAGACTGGGTCCTACAGCTTGTTGGCTCTGCACACATCGGGCAGGTTTCTGCAAAAGACACTGTATAGGGATCATTTCAAGAACATTTAGTCATGTGACTGGTTAAAGGTGGTTAAATCTTCTAAAGCCCTTGTTCAAATCTGAACAGCAGCTGGTAAAACCTCATACCTGGGTCATTCTTAATCAACCTCAAACTGTAAAAGAGTTTCTTATTTAAAAAAACTTTATGTGATGCAGGAAGGTAACATCTGGTTGATTCACTAAAGGTCTGTGTTGCCTTTAAGATATGGGCAGTGGGCTGTAACATTAAAAACAATACAAGGTACACATATACAAGATGCACATTAC